TTTTAATATTTGTGTCACATCTGCCTCTTGTTTGTTTGGGTTGGTTTTGTTTATTTGTTTGTTTGTAGTTTTGGAGGTTTGTTTTGAGGCAAGGACTCACTACACAGCCCAGGAGGGTTTTGAACTGACTGCGTAGTCCAGACTGGCCTCGAACTCGCATCGATCTTCCTGCCTCAGCCCCCTGAGTGCTGAGATTGCAGGTGTGGGCCACCACGCCCACGCCCACCTTGCTTCATATTTTCACAGCGTTGGGAATAAAACACTGGGCTGAGCCCGGGGTCCTCCAGCTCCAGCCCCGCCGGGGCCCAAGGAAATCCCGACTTGATGCTTCCTATACGGTACCTTGGCCTGTGCTGCCCTCTAGCGACTGCTCATGCAATGGCATCAAGGAAGCAGCCTCAGCGACCCAAGGTGGATGCCGCCCGCTTCAGTCCGCAATAGGCAGCTGTCAGAGTGCGGGCTGCCCGCGTGTGTGTTTGGAGTAGAAATATATTATGTAGCTAATTTTGTTCCGTTTTGTTTTATTTTTCTGAGACAGGGGCTCGAAATGTAGCCCAGGCTGACCTCGAGGTCCCCCTGCCTCAGCCTCCCAAAAAGTGCTGTGCTGATAGGTGTGTGCTACCACACCCGGTTCTATTTAGCTAAATTTTAAAATGCCCAATATAAACAAGGTGCGAGGGCAGTATTCAGCTAACCATTGTCTTCATTCTTGAAGTATAATATTATTCATTACAGGTATTTTTTTTCATTTGTATTTTCTTGTTTGTATTTGTAAGTAGCTCTAAACATGAGTGAAGCTGCCTCTAAAATGCAAGGCCTGTTGGGCATGGTGGCACACACCTGTAATCCCAGCACTCGGGAGGCTGAGGCAGGAGGATCGCTGCAAGTTCGAGTCCAGCCTGGGTTACAGAGGGAGCTCAAGGCCAGTTTGAACTTTATGGTGAGGCCCTGTCTCAAAAAGATAAATAAATAAAATAAAATAAAATAAAATGCAAGGCCACATGCCCAGTGTAAGTACTGAAATGCAGGGGATTGTTTCATTGTTGTGTCGGGGACAAACCCAGGACCCTCTACCACTGAGCTGCAACCCTCTGGCTCCTTTGTATTATTTACTAATTTTCATACTAGGGGCTGAACCCAGGGCCTTCATGCTGGGCTACGTATCTGGTATTTTTTAGGGCTTTTTTGGGAAACGGGTTTCATTAAGTTGCTAAGTTTCCCACACGGGGCTCAAATTTGCAGTCTTCCCGTCTCAGCCTCCGTCTGAACGCCAGTCTCCAAACGTACATTGTTAACCCATGCGTTTCCCTTTCTGGTTAGCAGTGATCCTCCTGCCTCAGCTACCTGCACGTGCTGGGATAGAAGGTGTGCGCCATCACACCCGGCCTTAGGTCTGGCTGAGGCAGGTGCTGTCCCTTGCTGAGAGTGCTGCGCTTGTCCGTGGGTGCTGTGGTGGCGTCCCCCTCCCATCTCAGGCGCCATGTGGGTTTCGACAGTTCCACCCCCGGGCTGCAGGAAAGGAAAGGAGGTCACTGTGTGCAGGGGGCTCACGCCTGACATCCGGCACTCGGGGAGGCTAAGGCAGGAGGCTGAGAGTGCAAGGCCGGCCTGGGCTAGAGGGAGAGTCTGTCTCCAAAACATCAGAAGGGGTACTGGCGTGAGGGCGTGTGACTGTCATCCCAGCACTCGCTTTGCTCAGGGAGGCTGAGGCAGGAGAACCGCAAGCTGGACCTCAGCCCGGGCCGGTTAGGGGGACTCTGCCTGGAGATAACAACTAAAGCAGGCGGGGCCGCCGCTCAGCGGGACAGTCCCCGCGAAGACCTTCGAGGAGGAGGACGGGTGATCTGCGAGTGGGCGGGGAAGGAAGGCACAGGCGGGGGGTTGGGGGGCGGACACGGGCCACGGGCCTTTCCCGGGTTTACAAACTGAGCAGCCAGAGGGCCGCCTGGCCCAGCCACACCCGCACCCGCAGTGCGAAGTAAGCCGGACGCCCGCGAGGGGGAGCCAGAGCCGCGGGAAGCAGAACCCACGAGTGCAACCCACGACTTAGAGAAGTCATGCCGACGAGGCACAAGTACTTCCAGCGGGGCAATAATGCGAGAAAAGCTCACAAGGCTGCGGCCACCGCTGGAGAGAGTCTGTAGGAGAACAAGCAGCTTGAAGAGATTACCCTGGGACAGAACAAGAGCCCCAAATCGGTGGGCATCTGTAATCCCAGCACTCGGGAGGCTGAGGCAGGGGTGTCACTGTGCAGTTGAGGCCTGCCTGAGCTAATAGTGAGACCCTGTCTCAACAAAGCACAGCAAAGCAAACGAAATGGCCAGGCATGGTGGCACACACCTGTAATCCCAGCACTGGGAGGCTGAGGCAGGATGATCGCTGTGAGTTCAAAGCCAGCCTGGGCTACATAGTGAGTTCAAGGCCAGCCTGCACTATAGTAAGACCCCGACTCAAGAGAAACGAAAAACTCCCGAAATGATCAAAAATCACTAAGAGGCTAGAAAAAGAAGAGAGAAGTAAGTAGAAGTGGATAATATTCTAAAAATATTTCTTCTGCTTTTTAGGAAGCAGGTGGGGAGAGTTTTGTGGTGAGAGAGTTCCATAGCTGGGTGGTGGCGGCTTCTCCAGTGTGCAGATTTGTCAGAATATGAAACTGAGGCGCGCCTGGTGGTGAAGGCCTGTGTTGCCACTCTGGGAGGCTGAGGCAGGAGGATCATAAATTTTTTTTTTTTTTTTTTGTCTTTTTTGAGACAGGTTCTCGCTATGCAGTTCAGGCTGGCCTTGAGCTCGCTTTGTAGCCCAGGCTGGTCTTGAACTCCCAACAATCCTCCTGCCTCAGCCTCCCGAGTG